CTAATCAAGCATTTTTTCACTGCTATATGTCTTTGACTCACTGGGTCAAAAACAATGAAAAACTCTAATAAGCTTTCCTGTTTATTTGACGTTCAACCAACGTCATCTTCCTCCCCCGCATTTCTATTGACCATATCTGATGAACTACCAAAATGAAAGCAAACTGAATGCCTTCACAATCCTTGCTGTCTGTCCTTTGTGAAGTACAATTTTCACAGGCCTTGTGTTTATCTCTCTAAAAATATTTAACTTGCAGGTATAAAAATTCAGACTTTTGAAGTAAATTTAATTAATGATGGACCGATAACATCATGCAGGTAAATTAAAGAATCCAAAACTCTATTTCAGACAGAGCTGTGCACTGAAAACCAAAATGGTGCCACTTGCATTCAGTAACAACACTAAAAGGAAACAGCTAACAAAGCATTGCAAAACTGGCATTGTAATAATGTGTGTAATATGTATTTTTTTTCCATGTGCATCAACACCATACATTAACAGTTCACGCATATGTTAATTTAGCTGGAAACCTTATGTGCATACTAATTTTGGCAGCAGTATGCTACATACATTTTAACTTCAGAAAACCCCACCAAATAGGCCCTTTTGAACTCCCTTTATAATTGATTAACCATGGAAATTGTGAATTAATATGTTAAATGTAAATATTTTACTGTTTTTGTGGTATTTTTTCTAAATTTTACAAACAGATTTAACAAACAGCACAAAGGTAGCCCCTTAAAATGTGAACATAATAAAAAGGATTATTATATGACCATTAATTTAAGCCTAGAAGTTGAGCAATAAATGTATGCAATGTTTTCCTAAAGGGGTGGTTCACTACCATATCATATTTTAAACGTTATTTGATGTGTAATGTAACTGTGTGAACATAAACAACATCTGTGAATGTAAGACGCTCAAAGTTCAATGCAATGGGAGACATTGGTTTTTACAAAGTTAACTTAACAAAGCCTACAGCAAACAAAATTTGGGAACTACACAAAATACACCTGGGCTAGTGAGATCAAAAAACTTCAGATTATGCAGATTCACCAGGCTTATATACCCTGCGCAGCGAAGTGGCTCGGCCAGAGGCAAGCTAATGTTATAGTAGAGAAAGCTAAACTGCTGTCCAAACTCTGCTTTTTCCACAGAGTTTAATCTGTTTCTGTATTTGGGGTTCCACAGGTGCTTACAATTTTATTTTAATTCTGTTCCAGAGAATTATAAAAAATATATAGCTAGCATTTGATAAAGGACAGCTTCCACAATCCCTCCCAGTTCAGTGCTGGATTCGGCTAAAAACTCAGGAGCAGCTCCAACCATAAAAGCAGAAGCTGTGGATTGTGTGCCACAACCTGTAAGTATCTTTGTTTGTTGAAAAGTATCTATTACATGCATAGTTTCTAGCATTTACAGTGTGTTGAAGCAAGGACATAAACACGGATGTAAACAACAGGAAATGCTGTTTGGCACCGTTAAAAATGTTGATACAAATTCATTTGTATCCGTCAAACCCCTGTAAACACCCACAATCTTCAGCAGCTAATGCGGTGTCTCTCTATGCAGCCTCTTTCCTTCTCTCTACATCTCAAATAACGAACTCACAAAAAATATGTGATGGTTTCATATTACTTACACATGCTTACAACCCAAACTTGTCAGATTTTATCTTAAAGAACGGGCGTGAGGTTCAGCTGTGTCCTTTTCATTTTCTGTCTGATTCAGGCTCAAACTGAAACGACTAACAGCTAAACTGATTGACAATATTACAGAGAAAAGGGCACAGCACGTGCTTTTAGAGGCGTGACATTTTTACTGGTGAGATGGAGCCAATCACAGCACATTATGTTGGACTGATGACCAATCAGAGCCTCTTGAGGGCAGGCCTTTTGGAGGAACTAGGAACATTTTAGCTGAGTATATTAAAAGTACATTTTAGCAGTATATTATCAAAGTTAGATATATAAAAAATAATGTTTTTTTTTTTTTTTTTTTTTTTTTTTTTTACAAATGAAGCATGAGCACACATTGCTTCGCATCTTATAAACAAAAGCAAGCCTTAAAAATACACTCTGGAGCAGCCCTTTAAGAAAACTGCTTGTCAAGTAATTTTTGGAATCTTTCCAAAGAAAAAAAAAAACTAAAAAAAACTGTGCAATGAAAGTACTTCAAAGCAACAAAACAAATTTAACTCCAACCCCAAAAAAGTGCATGTTGCAAAAACAAAAAGAAGAAAAATCAATACATCAATTTAAGTCAGCTTCTAAAATACCGGTAGACCTGTACTTTTGAGCACAAGCAGTTTTCAATATTGGCACAGACTGCAGTCCTAGAGTGAAATGGGAGGGCAAGCTCGATTTTTCAAAACTCAACCACTGTATATCACAAAACCAGCCCTGTTTCACCCAACAAGGGCAGCCTCTGCCATCATTATAACTCTCTTGAGCCTTCAGGGGAAGTGTTTGATGACACTGAGGGTCAAGGGTAAAGAAGAAAAATTGAGTCATGAGGGAATTTGACTGGTTAAAATGAACATGATGTAAGCTTTATCTAATTCTCCAGGGTGAACACTGTCCATGTGTGTGAAAAACAGACAGGGCAGCTTTACACAGACACTATAGACACGGCCTGGTACTCTGGTCCTTGTTTCAGTCTGTGGGGATTAAGCAGAAAAGGACATTATAGAAAGCACTAATGCAACACAGCAAACAAAGAGTGCATGCACAGAAATAGGGTCTTTAAGTTCACACTTGACTAAACCAAACTGTATGTCTCTTTGATGTTAATCTACTTAACATGGAAAAGACAATGAGAATCTATTTCCATTTATAAGTATGCCCTGGAGCACAAGCACCTCACTTGGCCACACCAGCAGAGGGGATGTGGCAACATTAGAAACAACTGTATCTTCATCCACTTTCCCAAAGGCCCAAATGATGCCACATCCATCTGTCATCTTGCATCCACTGCACCAATTTATGACCCCACACACAGTATATGTGTGTGCTAGAATCCTTTAAATTCCCTGTACATCCCCTCTCTCTCTCTCCTTCTCTCACTGTATTTTAGCAGAAAACAACAAGCCAGTCGCTACTGCTCTTCTCATTACGCACACAGAGGAACAAAACTCTCACGCAGACCAACAAACACAATAATGATTTTAGTTTAAACCTCTCCGCAGGTTAAGAGCTTGATTATAGAGCTTTGGCTGTCAAAAGCCATTTTGGCTTGCAAAAATGGTAAACACAGCAATTTGGCCTTTCTTGTTGATTTGATTCCAGCTTGCTACATGGAGTAGAAGAAAAGTAGAAAGAAGGAAAAGGCACTGTTTATCCACTGACGATGTGGAGGTAGATGTTTGTACACTAATTCAAAGCTTTTGGTTCCTGTGTTGGACCAACAAATACATCTGAGTAAGGGACAATGCACAATCAGCCAGGCATTGCAGCACAATGAATTCTGACAGGTTTGGCTCATGCGATGTGTACGGCTGACTGTGTGACTCACTGCAGGTTTGATTGGACTGCAAGGCGAACCATTCAAAAATTAAATTGGAAATATGAAATGAGTTAGCACACAGAACTGCAGTTTGAAATTCAGAAGAAAAACACAATTAATTGGAATTCAGTCATATTGTTTTGAAAGTCCTTTTCAGATATTCTGTTACATTTGTTCTATTACAGTACTTCTTCATCTTAGTTCTTAGTTTTTAAGTGGATATAAGGAATATTCTATTCAGTTTGAAGACTGTATTAGTAAATTATTAGTAGGCTATCATTGTCAGGGTTAAAGAATAAGTTGACATGTAAGAAGTCCTAAAGTCAATAGAATTTCTGTTTGGAGTCCATCATAAAATTCTTTGAAGATATACACCAGTTATTAAGTGTAGCAAAGAGGCGGGGCCAGAGGTGCTGTAATGTTATAGAAGAGAAAGCTAAAATCTAAATCTAAATCTCGTCTAAACGCTGCTATTTCCACAGAGCTTAATCTGTTTCTGTATTTGGGTTTCCAAAGGACACGGCACAAAACAGAAGTGCTTACAATTTAATTTTAATTCTGTTAAAGAGAATCCTAAAACAATATAGCTAGCATTTGACAAAGTGCAGCTTACAGAATCTCTCCCAGTTCAGTGTTGGATTTGACTAAAAACTCAAAGAAGAAGCAGCTCCAATCATAATAGACGAAGCTGTGGATTGTGAGCCACAACCTGTAAGTATTTCTTATTGTTTAAAATCGATATATTACATGCATAGTTTCTAGTGTTAACTGTATGTTGTAGCAAGGATGTAAACACTGGCAAATGTGTTTAGCACTGTTAACAATTTAGCTACTACAAATTCAAATTCATACGTGAAAGACACTTCAGATTTTATTTTATAGAGCAGGCGTGAGGTTCACTGCGTCCGATGTCATTTTCTGTTTGATTCAGTCACAAACTAATACGGTTAACAGCTACTCTGACTGACAGTATTTAAATATCTCATGATTATAGGGGTGTGATGATTTTCCTGGTTACATGGAGTCGATCCGGAAATCACAGCACACTATGTTAGCTGACCAATCAGAGCCTTTTGAGGGCGAGCCTTTCAGAGGAACTAGGAAATATGATGGTTGTTTTCATGTTAGCTAAGTAGCTGTAAATAAGTAAAGGAAAATATATGAAAAATAATGTGATTTTTTACAACTAAATTATGAGCACACATTGCTTTGCATCCTATATTGTAAACACAACCAAGCCTTAAAAATACAGTCTGGACCCCCCCCCCCCCCCTTTAAACAACCAGATGCCTTTACACATATTCTTTTGCATTTGAAATGACTGATTTTCAAGCAAGTATTCAGTGGTTTGATTCACACAGAAAAAGATGCAATTGTTTGTTTGTCGGTGGTTGAGAGTGTGTACAGGTGTTGGCAGCTTTTTACATTGATAATTTTAAAAATCACAGTTTATGCTCACAGGCTTCATCTGTCACATAAACAAACACTCAACTCACCAAGCCAGTATTCTCCAGTGATTTTGCCAAATCCTTCCCTATAGGAGTCCCACTCCCTGAAGAAGTTCACAGACCCATCTTCTCTCCGCTGAATCACCTGTCACACACACACAAAAAAAATATTCATAACCAATTAAAAAAAAACAAAACATAAGTGTCTAAATAAAGTGGGTAGTTGTTTGGATTGTTAGTGGATTGCATGACAGCAGATATAATGTTTTTGTTTAAATGGCTTAATGCAAAGGGAACATGTTGTGTTCTATTATAGATGTGTGTGCTTTGAATAAGGTAAGCCTACTGTACGATGTTAGCACTCTTCCTCAGTGTAAATCCATGATAAGAGAGAATGATTAAATCAAACTCTCTCGGCAGAGACTGATATGAGACTTGAACAAACAAGATGATGGAAAAGCTCAGCATCCAGATCGCAGGAATAATCATTTAATGAGGTATGATATCTTGATCTAGTCTAGAGTGACTCAAAAAAGCAAGACTTAGAGCTTGTAATCCTTTTGAGTATAGAAACATCCACATTCTAAACAGTGTCATGGAAAAGAATGAGCTCATTTGTGAAAATGCTATGGTTTTGCATATTTACTTTCAGAGTTAAAATCTGAAATAAAAAAGAAGAAATATAACAATGCCTGTACATTTATTTAGTTTAAAAGGCAGCATTTGAACTGGACTTGAAAAGTTTGAACGTAATTAAAAACAACAACTTTAGATTAATATGGCACATTCCTGGGTCTATAGATTTTGCTGAAATAATATTTCTTCCAAACTTGGTCAAATTGTTGATAAAAATGTCAATTAGCATGTAAGGGGGTCCGAGATCAGGTAGTAATCAAGAGCTCCTCCTGGCAAAGGAGGAAAAGGACGATATGGGCTGCTGAGGGATTCTTCAAGGGTATTTGTCTGCGGACTGTTAGACAGGAGTGTAAAATGAAGGGGTGTAACTTGTTGTTAGTCAGGGAGCTGTAATCATTCGAGTTGTTGGGAAGATGGTTGAAATACTTAACAGAGAACATTTTAACCAAAAGTTTCCTCCAAATTTATCTACAAACAATTCATTTGATATATTATTGAATCCATTCATTTAGCAACTCCACCATGCAAGTCACAAACTTCACCCGTTTTGTCATGACAGTTTGGCCCCTGTGGTTGCAAATAACAGTACAATGGTGACCATGTCCATTATGAAAGCTTCTGCAACCTATGGCTGTACATTAAAACTATGATGGTTGGGTTTAGGTGCCACGATCACCAAGGACCTACACAGCAAATTCATCAGAGTTAAATTCTCGGTGTTGAAGCATTTCAGAGTAAAGTGTTGAAGTTAAAGAGTTAAATTTTGATAAATGAATATAATAAGAGTTAAAATTGATTTTATTCAGTGCGAAATCAAGGAGTTATCTTTTCAACACTTGGTGGTGTTATTTCCAACATCCGGGAATTCATGCAGCCCCAGTCACTGAAGAATTTTCCAGATGCCATTTTCCATCTGAGGTTTAAAACAGCAACTGGTGAGTCAAACTACCTAAATGTGGTTATTTTACTGACTTTCTTTAAGGAAATACAGTTGTAAACATATTGTTAAGTTAATAATTTTAGAATGGAGTGACAATTTTAAACTTCTGCGGTTCATTCATGGTCGTTTGTTTATCTAGCTTAACTGCATTACTATTCACTTCTTTTCAAGAATGTTTTTATATATGCTCACGCATACATAGTGCATAAAAACATCAAATGTACATGTTCAACACATTTCTGTCACGCTTAATGCTATTTTGTGCGTTGTTACCCATCTGTAAAATAAAATCGACACTTCTCCTTTAATTCGAAGCAAACTAGCGAGGGAATCCCCGGAGCGCCTAGCCTACTCTGCCTGGATGCTAACGGCAACAAAGGACGTTAGCCCTGGAGAGTTTCTAAAACATATCTGGTGAGTAAATGAACATATGCTTACTTGTAAAAGGCTTCCTGACTGAAACATATGATTGTTTGTTATTCGTGTACGTTAATTTGGTTATTTTAAACACCGCAGCCCTTTTAAACTGGTTCATTCGTGGCCGTCCATATAACGTTAGTCCATAGACTCGTGTGATAACGTAACAGTTACGCTTGAATTATATTAAGTGTTGACAACCATTAAAGTCGGAATGTTAACATTAATGTCTTTAAATGACCGCGTTTGCACTTTATCAGACATTTGACGTTACAGAAGTCTCCCGGAAGTTGCGGGACTAACGTTAACGTTATCCCGCAAATGCACAGAGACTCCCAGATGCCCAAGTAGATGCCCGCAAATGAATGATAATCTCCTGGAAATCGCGCGTCTCCCGCCCGGTCATTAAACACTTTGCACACCCCTCTCCACCGCATCCCTCCCAGCTCTTCAGGTACGTCGCGCGCAAGTAACCCCCACCGCTCTTTAGGTACGTCGCGCGCAACTCATCTCATTGCTCTTCAGGTACTCATCACTCCCGCTAACGTTACCTCCCGCAAATCAACTCTGTATCCCCCGAAAATGACTTTTCCCAACTCGGGATGTCTGACGTTAGTAAGTTAGACTATTTCTGTAGTCAGGAACATCTTAGTCAAGCTTTTTCTCCCACATGATATTGTGCTTAAAACTATAGGCTAAACTTAGCATGTACTGTACACAACATTTCCGTTTTATTAAAGACAATTTAGTGCGTTGTAAACAGCCACCTGTCTGTAAAATTAATCAACTGATTCATATTTGAGCAGCCTAATGATGATACAGGTTTGATTTGTAGATTTATTATCAATAATCAACATCTGAATCAAAAGATATGTGAAAATGTGTGAGGCATACTTTGTGATGTTTATCTCTTTTATCTGAAGGTTATGCATATGTGTTTGATACTAATGTGTTGTTGTTTTTTAACAGCCACAGTTCTCTATACAATAACACAAGACCCTGTGACGGTGGCTGATTAGAGACGGATGGTGTATTTCCAGAGTTGGTGAAATGACTAAGCACACCTTCTTGGTCATATGTGGTGAAAATAATGAAGGTATGTTTGATAAAGTTCTGTATTTGTTTCACAATAAGCTAAGAGGGTATTAGAGCATTAGAGAATAACAAATGACATGAAGGTGATAAGTTTTGTATTGTGGGTGAACTGTTACTTAAATAATGTTTTGCTCTGCTTTGCACTTTTCCTCTTCTGCTTATCCTAATATTTTAGATTATATTTGGACCTGAAACATCTGCTAGACTCCAGGAAAGGTGGCGTCAATACTGGACCTGAAAGGGCCTAACAAGTTGAATCTGGTAAAGAAACACGCATGCACACACACACACACACGCACACACACATGCACGCACACGCTTACAGAAAACTGTACATTTATGAATATTTTTTACACTGTGGCCAATATTTTGGGGAAGTCAGCATCACTAAATGATATAAAAAATTTTAAGCTCCTCTAAATTTAGCTCCAAGTGTTGTGTTAAATTCAGGATTCTGGACAGACAGCTGCCTGTTTTTCCAGTTCTAGCCATAGTGGTTAACCTAATTGTTTTTGGAGATCCAACAGTGATGTATGTGTGTTTTTTCTACTTTTCCATATCCTGTCACCTCAACCAGCTGGGAGAGTCAAGTTGTGGATCATCATGAAGATTTTAAAAAGGTGAGTTTAGATTTCTTGAATATTTAATTTACTTTAAATGTTCTTTTAAATATATCATAGAATTTGATTGCTATTTGTTTTCAAACATTTTTCTTAGTCATGCTGGAGTCTTGAAGAGTTTTTAGATGAGCATCACCCTATATCCGTGCATCAGGAACCAGCAGACGAACGATCAGCAGCTGCTACATCGTCATGGATATAAAGGACATCCTGTGGCTGGGAAGCACTTCATTCACAGGACATGCTTGATGAGATTTCCTAGCTCCAGTTTGTTTTCACACAAGTTTACAGCATTTGTACCTTTATTTAAACTGCTGTGTTTGATATGGAGGACCAAGGAAACACCAGAAGTGAAAGATTTGCACGCCAAGTTGTTTAAAATGTAATTTCAGAAGAAAACTATGCGTTCAGAAGAAAACTATGAGTGACGCTATATTGAACTTTCAAATGGCTCTGATGAAACATCAAGTTTGGACTTAAGGACTGAAACAGCCTTTTTGAGCACTGGTCATACATATTTTGTTGATACTGTCTGTACTAATAAAACATTTAAAGCATATTTGACATTGTTGCATTTTAAAAACTGAATGAATTGTTGAAGTGGTGAATGTTTTCAAATAAAATGTTTTTTATTTTGTAATTTACAGTCTATTTGACCTTTTTACCATATTTACACTCAAGAGAGTTGAATAAAATAACAATATATTACACCAGGCGGTGTTAAATATAGTTACATATTTTAACTCTGCCCAGAGTTAAAATTAACCCTTACTTCGGTGTCAATGTGCCAACCCTTTTGAAAGTGTTAATTTAACTCTGTTTTGTGTGGACCCCATGAGACACTTTCAAAGGGTTGAAATTAACACCCATAGAGTTGTTTTGGGTCCCCATATTTTGCTGTGTAGGCTTTGCAGATCACTGGAAAACATACATTATAATGCATTATAATTCTGCCACTACATGAACTACCAGCCCCAGATGTCATTGTTTGGCACCTGCACAGATCTCTTGTCATATCACCTGCTCCTGTTCCAGCGACAAGGTCGCAAGAAGTCTAAAGACATGCGCTATAGGTGAATTGGGTGAGCTAAATTTTCCGTAGTATATCTGTATAAATTTCCCAGAGATGGGCTGGAAGGGCATCCGCTGCGTAAAAACTTGCTAGATAAGTTGGCTGTTCATTCCACTGTGGCGACCCTGGATTAATAAAGGGACTAAGTTGACAAGAAAATGAATGAATGGAATCTGTGTGAATGGAAGTGTATGAGTGTTTCCCAGTGATGGGTTGCAGCTGGAAGGGCATCTGCTGTGTAAAACACATGTTGGCGGTACATTCCGCTGTGGCGACCAAAGATTTATAATAGAACTAAGCCTAAAAGAAAATGATTAACGAAAAATCTGAAGAGTGCCTGCCTGGGTAACCAGGAATATAAAATT